ATCAATGCAGATGTTTTGCTGGGGAGTATAGACATCTGCAATTTTTTGGCTAAGGTGATTTGCTAGGGACTGAATTTTGTGGAGCCGGTCAAATTCAGGGTTACCCCGAGGATGACAGAGTGTGTTGTTGAAATGCATAAAACACATTATACTCTCATATCTATGCCTGGCCATAGCAGCAGAGAACACGGCATTTGATGAATCTGGTCTGCGGACCAATACAACTGGAATTAATTTCTTTTAGTAATGCCCATGTTGAGGGTTAGGCCCAAAAAATGTAAAGTCGAAAACCGTAATGAGTTTCCATGCGACTGGTGTGGCAAAGTTGGAATTTTGGTTGGCGGTGATAAAATGTTGTACATATAAATTGCTTTGATCCACAATCAACGCATACAGATATTCTGTGAAAAACATTTTCAAAAATCAAGGGGAGTAATTAAATTTGCTATTTCCACCTGAATTCCAGGTTGGGCAGTGAATGGGGGAAGTATGGGTGCTGCAGAATTTGTGGGCTGCCAATCGGGATTTGCAAGCACATCCGAAAGGATACTAGGAGCTCTGTGGGCCTGTGTACGAATTCTTGGTTGCTGCGGGACAATACTTGTGCTCGCCACCGCACTGGCTTGTACTGGACTTATGGGACTTGCCCCGTCACCAAGTCATACTGCAGTGCTGGTATTATTATTATTATTATTATACAGGATTTATATAGTGCCAACAGTTTGCTCAGCGCTTTACAATATAACGGGAGACAATACAGAACAATACAGTTCAATACAAGAGGGTTAGGAGGGCCTGATCCTGGGAGCTTACAATCTAAGAGATATGTGAAAGACCAAGATGTACTAGACCGCTGGTGCTCGCCAGTTCACCAAAAGGTAGCATGGCACTAGTACTGGCATTCTGCTGCATATGAGAGTCATCAAAATTTACTGACAAGTGCTAACAGAGATCAGGCCTGATTCTGCGAACACTGTAGTTTTTTGTGCAATGTACCAAGTGACAAAGACCTACTGACACTGCACTTGCTGGGGGAGAAGGAGGGGGTAACCGTAGGGGCTAAAGACAGGTGCTGGCAGGTGCCGAGGCTGATCCTGCTAACGCTGTGTTTTTGGGGATGCTATATTAATGTGAATGCTGGTATAGTGATGACCTGATCAAAGATATTGATCCGTTCAGATGCTATACTAGCAATAGAGGATTATTGTGCATGAGCGTGTTCTGGGCAATCAAGGAGTTAAATGTGATGACTGTTGTACTGACTGGCAATCTGACGACACCTGGGAGGGGTGTGAAAACCATGGGAGCGCAAATCATGTATATATATATATATATATATATATATATGTGTGATTTTGCGCACCCATGCCGCCCTGTAGCAGTATTTCTGCTATAGGGTGGTCAGGAAGCGGTTACAGAAGAGGGCTGTGTTACGGCGCTGCGTTACTTTAACTGACAATTGCGCGGTCATGCAACACTGCACCCATATTACATTTACGTCCTTTTTTCCCACAAATTGAGCTTTCTTTCAGTGGTATTTGATCGCCTGTGCGTTTTTTTTTTTATTTTTTGCGCTATAAAAAAAAGGCTGACAATTTTGAGGAAAAAAACAATATTTTGGACTTTTTGCTGTAAAATATGTCCAGTAAAAAAATTCAAAATCAAATTTCGTTATAAATTTTGGCCAAAATGCATTCTGCGACAGGTCTTTGCTAAAAAAAAACCCAATACGTGTAAATTAATTGGCTTACGTGAAAGTTATAGCATTTACAAATGGTGGGAAAGATACTGTGATTTTTAATTTTTTTTATACTAATAATGGCAGCGATCAGCGACGTATGGCGGCGATCAGCGACATATGGCAGGACTGTGGGACTGCGGCGGACATTCTGACACTGGGGGACACCAATACAGTGATCAGTGCAAAAAAAAAACCACTGACACTGTACTAATGGCACTGGGGAGGAAGGGGTTAACTTTTTTATTCAATGAAAGGGTTAACTGTGTGAGGGGAGTGTTTTACTAGGGGGCGGGGGTGTGTACTGCACGTGAAAACGCTGATCCGGAGAGATAAACTCTTCTCTCCGGAATGAGCATGCCAGGAGCTGACAGGGAACTGACAGAAAGCAGAGCTACTGAAGCTGTGCTCTCTGTCAGTGATTGCCGCTAATTGCCGGGACATGGCCGGTAATGAACGGCCGTGATCCGGCGACTGACACCCATGGCTGCGATCGGTGGGACAGGTAGGACGGTGACACGCCTCGCACGTGCCCCCTACCTGTTTTGAAAAATCACGTTATAAAACGTGGTTTTGCACAGCCGAGCCGACCTGCCACTGTATTTCTACAGTGGGCTGGTCGGCAAGTTGTTAAAGTTAATTTTAGGGTACACAAACACACTATATTACCTTGTTTTGGTAAAAAAAAGAGTAAAAATAGATACCCAATATGTCAAGCCTTAAAATTGCATGCACCTGTGAAAGAACGTCAAATTTGGATATTCCGAATTTTGCTTAGGTGATGCTTTAAAAAGCCCCATACAGGTCATCAGTTCAGAGTTAACCATGCATAATGGCCCTAGAAATATTGCACACAATCTGGCATGCCCGATGATATGTAAACAGCATGTGCAAATTACGGTTTCATACGTAAGCACCTCTTATTCATGCACGTAGGGGTGGGGGTTGGGCAGACTCAAAAGTTTTTTTGGAGGGGTATTTTAAATGCTTGGGTGTGACTTTATTATGTTAGTTTTTTTTCCACTTACCTTTTTTTAAAGCACAAAAAACCCATGTGATAGCATTTCGCTATGACAGTTTCTCTTTAATATGACATTGGAGTGTATTAATGCCTCACCTGCACTCCAGTGAAACTTATGAAGCATAGGTCACACTCCATTAGTTTCTTCTCCAGTCACAGAGGCCATGGAAACTGACAGTTGAATCCAGAAGTGACATACTGCACACTGCTTCCATGTTCATAGCTAGGGGAGATCAGTGAATCGGCGTACTCTGGTGTCCCTCCCATCTACCCAGTGGCACTTGCCACAGGAGTCCCGGGCCGCAGGTGGGACAGCATAACCTGGGATGCTGTACAGCAACCCGAATACTTCCACCTAACAGTCAGCTTGTCAGATTTAAACACAATCTTTGCTACTGGTATATGTCAGCGACAGTGAAAGAGTTAAGCTGTTTTCCTGTAGAAATAGCTTTTTAGCCACATTCTTTCTTAAATTGACCATCCCAGGTATGTATTCATTAAATCAGTAGAGCCCAGTACGTGTCTGATATTGTCAGTCTGCAACCCAGTACATACTGTACCTCTGTGACACACACATACACACTAACATACACACACTCTCTCACTTTACAAAAACTGGAGAGTGCAAAGTTTAGTGCAGCTCAGCATAGGAACCAACCAGCTTCCAGTTTTATTGTCAAAGCTTAAATAAACAAGCTGAAGTTAGAAGCTGCTATGCACAGATGCACCAGATTCTGAATGCTCCAGTTTTAGTAAATCTCCCCCACAGAGTGTTGTTGTCTTGTCTCAAAGGACACCTTTATAGGCTTGTAAGGACATAGGATTCATTAGAAGATGCTTTGGTAGCTCTATCACACCATTACAGTCCAATATATGCGATTCCCACAATGAGACTTTTTCTCTGTTACTCTGATGACGTGAAACTGGCCCCAGAGGAGGTGGTTCAAACATTGGGTTTATTTATTGGGTTTAAAAAGCAAGATGGTCTGGACCTGTTCTCACAAAGTCTGATCTTGAGCCCTATTGTTTGGGACTAGTGTTATTGACATGGCTGTTGTAGCCCAGTTGTGTGCTGAGACAAAGGACTTGTCTAAGTCACCCATTCCAACTACACTATATTGCCACAAGTATTGAGATGCCTGCCTTTACACGCACATGAACTTTAATGGCATCCCAGTCTTGGTTTGTAGGATTCAATACTGAGTTGGCCCACCCTTTGCAGCTATAACAGCTTCAACTCTTCTGGGACGGCTATCCACAAGGTTTAGGAGGGTGACTATGGGAATATTTGACCATTCTTCCAGAAGCGCATTTGTGAAGTCAGACACTGATGTTGGACGAAAGGACCTGGCTCGCAGTCTCTGCTCTAATTCATTCCAAAGGTGTTCTATCGGGTTGAGGTCAGGACAGTCCACTTCCTCCACCCCAAACTCGCTCATCCATGTCTTTATGGACCTTGCTTTATGCACTGGTGAAGTCATGTTGGAACAGGAAGGGGCCATCCAAAAACTGTTCCCACAAAGTTGGGAGCATGAATATGTCAAAAATATCTTTGTATGCTGATACCTTAAGAGTTCCCTTCACTGGAACTAAGGGGCCAAGCCCAACCCCTGAAAAACAACCCCACACCATAATCCCCCTCCAGCAAACTTTACACTTGGCACAATGCAGTCAGGCAAGTACCGGTCTCCTGGCAACCCCCAAATCCAGACACATCCATCATATTGCCAGATAGAGAAGGGTGATTCTTCACTCCAGAGAACACGTCTCCACTGCTCTAGAGTTCAGTGGCAGCGTGCTTTACACTACTGCATCCAACGCTTCACATTGCACTTGGTGATGTAAAGCTTGGATGCAGTTGCTCGACCATGGAAATCCATTCCATCAAGCTCTCTATGCACTGTTGTGCTAATCTGAAGACCACACCATGTTTGGAGATCTTTAGCTATTGACTCTGCAGACTGTTGGCGACTTCTGCGCACTGTGTTCTTCAACATGCGCTGACCACGCTCTATCATTTTATGAGTTGCTGTTGTTCCAGTTGCTTCCATTTTGTTATAATAACACCAACAGTTGACCGTGTAATATTTAGTAGCAAGAAATTTCATGGATGGAGTTATTGCACAGGTGGCAACCTTTCATGGTACTATGCTTGAATTCACTGAGCTCCTGAATGCGACCCATTCTTTCACAAATGTTTGTAGGAGCAGTCTGCATGCCTAAGTGTTTGATTTTATACACCTGTGGCCAGGGGCAGACTGACAACTCATGGGGCCCCCGGGCAATAGGGGATCATGGGGCCCCTGTGTCCTTGTCAAAACTCCAAAAAGCCTATGAAAAAGGTACCAGGGGCATCTCATGGGGCCCCGTACTGACCCCGGGCCCTCGAGCAGTGCCCGAGTTTCCAAATGGTCAGTCCGCCCCTGCCTGTGGCCATACAGGTGATTGGAACACTTGAATCCAATGATTTGCAGGGGTGTCCCAATACTTTTGGCAATATAGTGTATGTTGAGGACTAATAAAATCAAATTCACACGTCACATTATTGTACCTAAAAGGCTTAGTTCTGTTGCTATAAGTCCCCATCTTTATCTCTTTTTGAATGGCAATAGTCTGTTCTTTTTACATAAAGGGGGGGTCCAATGCCTCACATTGATTTTCATTAAGGGTCAGGTTTGGGCTTTAAAAGTGCTGTTTCAGTGTCCTTTGGCCAGCCATTCAATGATACATAATTTTATAAAGGGAGTGGCTTATGACTAGAGATGAGTGAATCGAACATGACGAAGTGGAATTCGTTTCGAAGATTTGGAAAAATTCGATTCGCGACGAATCCGAAGATTAGCAAACTTCGGATGCACGAATCGAATTTTCCCAAAAATGGCGGTGACATGTGTGGCGACAGGAGAAAATGGACAGAGAAGATGGGGCGGGGATCTCTGGGAAGGTGCGCAGACAAGGCGCGCTGACCCATAATGCATTCATGAGTCATGAATCATGACATGTGATCGCATTAGCCAATCAGCAGCCAGCCAGCCAGCACTGTGTAATGGTGGAGCTATAAATCGCGGCCATCTTCGAATTCTCCATTAGCCTCCGGTCATTCAAGAGAGACAGACCTCTGAGTATTGAGGGACACAGAGACTTTAGGGCCACAGAATCGTTACTCAGGGCCACAGAATCGTTACTCAGGGACACAGAATCGTTACTCAGGGACACAGAATTGTTACTCAGGGACAAAGAATCGTTACTCAGGGACACAGAATCGTTACTCAGGGACACAGAATCGTTACTCAGGGACACAGAATCGTTACTCAGGGACACAGAATCGTTACTCAGGGACACAGAATTGTTAGGGACACAGAATTGTTACTCAGGGACACAGAATTGTTACTCAGGGACACAGAATCGTTACTCAGGGACACAGAATCGTTACTCAGGGACACAGAATCGTTACTTATTGTACGTTCAAAGAGTTAAATCCATTTAGACGCCGGCTGGCGGTAATATTTTTTGGGTGATTAGTGCATTCCAGTGACACAAACGTATAGTTTCCAGCCAACGGCAAGCTGCAATTGACCGATTGTGTACAATAAACTGACTTTCTGCTTCACAACCACTATTGTACGTTCAAAGAGTTAGATCCATTTACACGCCGGCTGGCGGTAATATTTTTTGGGTGATTAGTGCATTCCAGTAACATAAACGTACAGTTTCCAGCCAACGGCAAGCTGCAATTGACCGATTGTGCTAAATAAACTGACTTTCTGCTTCACAACCACTATTGTACGTTCAAAGAGTTAAATCCATTTAGACGCCGGCTGGCGGTAATATTTTTTGGGTGATTAGTGCATTCCAGTGACACAAACGTACAGTTTTGCCAACGGCAAGCTGCAATTGACCGATTGTGTACAATAAACTGACTTTCTGCTTCACAACCACTATTGTACGTTCAAAGAGTTAGATCCATTTACACGCCGGGTGGCGGTAATATTTTTTGGGTGATTAGTGCATTCCAGTGACATAAACGTACAGTTTCCAGCCAACGGCAAGCTGCAATTGACCGATTGTGCTAAATAAACTGACTTTCTGCTTCACAACCACTATTGTACGTTCAAAGAGTTAAATCCATTTAGACGCCGGCTGGCGGTAATATTTTTTGGGTGATTAGTGCATTCCAGTGACACAAACGTACAGTTTCCAGCCAACGGCAAGCTGCAATTGACCGATTGTGTACAATAAACTGACTTTCTGCTTCACAACACTATTGTACGTTCAAAGAGTTAGATCCATTTACACGCCGGGTGGCGGTAATATTTTTTGGGTGATTAGTGCATTCCAGTGACATAAACGTACAGTTTCCAGCCAACGGCAAGCTGCAATTGACCGATTGTGCAAAATAAACTGACTTTCTGCTTCACAACCACTATTGTACGTTCAAAGAGTTAAATCCATTTACACGCCGGCTGGCGGTAATATTTTTTGGGTGATTAGTGCATTCCAGTGACATAAACGTACAGTTTCCAGCCAACGGCAAGCTGCAATTGACCGATTGTGCTAAATAAACTGACTTTCTGCTTCACAACCACTATTGTACGTTCAAAGAGTTAGATCCATTTACACGCCGGGTGGCGGTAATATTTTTTGGGTGATTAGTGCATTCCAGTGACATAAACGTACAGTTTCCAGCCAACGGCAAGCTGCAATTGACCGATTGTGCTAAATAAACTGACTTTCTGCTTCACAACCACTATTGTACGTTCAAAGAGTTAAATCTATTTAGACGCCGGCTGGCGGTAATATTTTTTGGGTGATTAGTGCATTCCAGTGACACAAACGTACAGTTTCCAGCCAACGGCAAGCTGCAATTGACCGATTGTGCTAAATAAACTGACTTTCTGCTTCACAACCACTATTGTACGTTCAAAGAGTTAAATCCATTTAGACGCCGGCTGGCGGTAATATTTTTTGGGTGATTAGTGCATTCCAGTGACACAAACGTACAGTTTCCAGCCAACGGCAAGCTGCAATTGACCGATTGTGCTAAATAAACTGACTTTCTGCTTCACAACCACTATTGTACGTTCAAAGAGTTAAATCCATATACACGCCGGGTGGCGGTAATATTTTTTGGGTGATTAGTGCATTCCAGTGACATAAACGTACAGTTTCCAGCCAACGGCAAGCTGCAATTGACCGATTGTGCTAAATAAACTGACTTTCTGCTTCACAACCACTATTGTACGTTCAAAGAGTTAAATCCATATACACGCCGGGTGGCGGTAATATTTTTTGGGTGATTAGTGCATTCCAGTGACATAAACGTACAGTTTCCAGCCAACGGCAAGCTGCAATTGACCGATTGTGCTAAAAAAACTGACTTTCTGCTTCACAACCACTATTGTACGTTCAAAGAGTTAAATCCGGTTTTATTTTTGGGGTGCTTATTGAATTAAAGAGTATGTCAGACAACACGCAGAGGAGTGGCAGAGGAGGCAATGTTTCAGGAGCGAGCAGACGTGGCAGCAGAGGAAGGCGTCGAGGCAGCACTAGTCGCAGCCAGAGGCCAGTGCTCCCGGTGTCATCCAGCGGTCGTGTCTCCACCGACAACCCTGCCGTCATCGATTGGTTGACTCGGTCGTCTTCCTCTTCCCAGGTCACCTCTGACACCTACAGCCAACGGTCGGTGGGTACGTCAGACAAAACCGTTAGTTGGCATGGCCCGGGAGCAAGCCACTGAAATCACGTGTCCTGGACCTGCCCCTGTCCTTTGCTGTTCCCTCACCAAGCGAAGTATCGCATGCTGTGGGCTCAGCCCCACTGTACAGTGAGGAAGAGCTAACAGAGGGCGGTCAGGAACGGGGGGAGACATCCGCCTCTTCAGCAGCCAGGCGAAGAGAAGTACTGGCGAGGAGAGTGGCTCGGTAGCCGGTCTAGAGACAGGTCTGTCTCCTGACCCACACGCAGCCGAGGGGGCTAGTAGTGACGCGGAGACCCTAATTGATGATGATGAGGCTGATCGCACTTGGCAGCCTCGTCGTCATCAGGCTATTGCTTCCGCATCATCAGGAGAAGAGGGTGCCAGCTTGCCAGCGAGCAAAACAGTCGGTGGGTTGCCCAGGAGGCAGCAGGGTCGCAGCAGTGTCAGTGGAGCCAAACGGCCACGGAGTAGAGCACCAGCTCCACTGCAGCCTACCACCATGGCCAGTAGTGGTGCCGGTGTGCACGGAGGAAGTAGCAGTCAGCCAGTGAGGAGTAGCGGGGGCAAAGTTTCCTACTCGGCGGTGTGGGCAATTTTTCGTCAAGCCGCCCGAGGAAGTAAACGTAGCCGTATGTCGACTATGTGGCCAGAAAGTCAAGCGTGGCCAGGGGGCCCATGTTGGGACTACAGCGTTGCGTCAGCATATGCAGCGTCGCCATTCGGTGGCCTGGGAAAACCGTGATAAAGATACGGCGGTTCTGCCTGCCCCAGCCCCCGCTCCATCACCCGCTCCGTTACTTGCTCCGTCACCCGACGTCAATCGCCCTCTATCAGCCAGTCAAGGCTCCAACACCTCTGCTGAGGGGAGTTGTCGCTCGTTGGCATCTTCCGCTCGTTCAGATGCTCCTTCTCCTGCTACTCCTTTTCACGGATTCCGTCAGCAGTCTTTCTTGGAATCCGTTTCCAAGAGACAACAGTTTGCGAGCACGCACCCGACGGTGCAGAAGCTGAACGTCCTCCTGTCCAAGTTGCTGGTGCTGCAGTCCCTCCCTTTCCAAGTGGTGGACTCAGCACCTTTCCGAGAAATGATGGCTTGTGCCGAGCCGCGGTGGAGAGTGCCAAGCCGGCATTTCTTCGCCAAAAAGGCAGTGCCAGCCCTGCATTCACATGTAGAAGAGATGGTGGGCCAGTCTTTGAGCATGTCGGTCTCTGCCAAAGTGCACGGCAGCGCCGACGTGTGGAGCTGTAACTACGGTCAGGGACAATACATGTCATTTACGGCCCACTGGGTGAACGTGGTGCCGGCACAGCCACACCAGCAACTTGGACAGGTCACGCCGCTTTTGCCTCCATGTTTGCACGTCCTTGGTCCAGCAAAGATGTCCGCCTCTACCACCTCTTCTTCCGCCGTGTCCTCAGCCACCACCCCCGTGCCAAGTCCCATTACCCGACCGGCATATCACATGTGCAGGGCGCAACGGTGTCACGCTGTGCTGCACCTGGTATGCCTTGGCGAACGTAGTCACACAGGGGAGGAACTTCTGAGTGTAATGAACAGAGAAATCGACAGATGGCTGTCTCCGCGCAAACTGAAAATCGGAACCATGTTGACCGACAATGGAAAGAACATGGTGTCTGCTCTGCGTCAAGGAAGGTTATGCCATGCGCCATGCATGGCTCACGTGTTCAATCTGGTTGTCAAGCGGTTCCTAAAATCCACCATCCCACTGCAAGACATCCTTAAAATGTCACGTAAACTTTGCATGCATTTCAGCCATTCCTACACCGCAAAGCACACCCTCCTTGAGCTGCAGCGGCAGAACGGAATTCCACAGCATCGCCTGATCTGCGACGT